AAGTTGATAATAAAAATAAGTTCGTATTAAATGTGTTTTTGAGGAAAATTTGAGATTGGATACATATTGGCAACCAGCCAAAAGTCAGATACGATGTTTTTGCTCCAACAGATTCACACACCATTTTAGTGCAAAAACATTGTAAGTGTCAGTTTACACACAGTAAGGGAGAATATTAGCCATTTTTGTTGAAATGAATCAATTTATTAATAGATAAATTTAGTGTAAAGAGTGATAACAATTTATTTCAAACTTTCTGTAACATCAAGAAATCCATTGATAATTGTTTTAGGTCATCAATTACTAGTATAAACAAAAAAGTGCCGTAAACGAGTAAACATAAACAAGAAAATGAATTATTTATAAATCAATTAGGTTGACTTTTGAGTTTTTAAGTATTATGCATTACAAATTAAAATCTCGGCATAAGGACAAAAATCCTAATTTTAACTTGAGGATGATCAACAATCTGTTAAAAGGCCATTGTAAAAATGACGACAATCGCGAGGTATAAAGTCACATAATTTAAGTAAATCGGCTTTCTTTTGTTTGTCAATGACTTGAGTTGACTGATAAGCTTTTGTTAATTTGACTGTAGCAAGATCACAAGGATGCCCTTGTTTACGATAAGATTTCTTGACCATCTCGCCCCCTATTTCATGTGCAAATGATACAGTTTGTTCATTGTCAGATATACTGTAAATAATATGATGAACAGTCATGATTCCAGAAAAGGCATTCTGTTTACATATCATCGAATTGAACCTTTCGTAATCAATAATGTCATTATGAGTAATTTCGATTACTATATAAGGCTGTTTTTTATTTGCCTTCCGCATGCTCTCGTGATAGGCAGAAGGTAGAAAAACATTGGATGATTTATATTCCCGTTCAATGCAAGAGTGCATACTGTCACACTCATTTTGGCTATGGCCAGATTCAAAAAATTTTTGTTCAACAAATTCTATATTCTGTGCCTGACTTAAAAACTGCAGTATTGCACTGCACATAATTCTATTCCTATTTTGACCACCACAGGAATCACTGTATAGAATTGCAGAATGATAACCTTCATTATCCTTAGCTTTTAACCATTTCAGTAAACAAGATGCAATTTCATTAGTCCCACGTTTGCCTTCACATTCATGCCAAGTATAGCAAAAGCCTTGTAAAGTTTGAAGTTCAAGTACTGTGAAATTGTAAACATTCAGTTTTCTAAGATAATAGGCTGACCCAACAGACAGTTTTGGAGCTACCATAACCTGTTGCAAGTCAAACACTGCTGTAATAGTATCACCAACAAATTTATCTACTGATTTTGCTGTTCTTGCTTGTTCTTTTCTTCGAAGGTGGTTAATCAACTCTGCTTCATCTGAAGCATCAAAAGTTCCTGATTCTTTTTTCATGTCAAATTTTGTGCATGTGTCACAGAGATCTTTGCTTGGAACATGGAATCCTAAGTTAAACTCTGTATTGAAAATATATCTGTACATTGATTCTGTAACAAACTTTAATTCATTATCTTGACATCTTTGTAAATACAACCTGTACATTATTTTGATGTTTAAACTTGAATCTAGGTATTCACGTTTTGTAGTAGATCTACAATAATGACTATCAATCTTTGGAAAACTTTTTATGTGATTTATTACTTCTTCCTTCATTTCTAAAGGTGTTTTGTTTGCTGGTTCCTTGGGTTGGGGTGGTTGGATGATTCCAGCACTGCATCGATCAAGGTTGTATTTAACCATGAAATCAGAAATGTCAAGAGTGTTTAAAAACATCTTTTTGCACACTCTGGTGTCGACTTCATTTACTGGTAAATAATAATAAATTGAATGCTTTCGACGGCTTTCTGCTTTATTGATGTTCCGTTTCTTACCAAATCTCTTTGCATGAGACACAACAAAATCCCTACGCCTCTGGTGATTGTTCATACCCCAAAATGATTTAAAAATGTTCATACGATCGATTTGCGATATCTTTGTGCAACATTGAAGTCTGCAAGATTGACCACAGACAGGCCCAAGTTGGCGTTCTGTATCAGCATGACCAGAGGCAGAGGTAGGTCGACCATATTTGCCGCTATTGAAAAGGTTTCTTTTCACATTCCTCTTCCATGTGGAGGGATCTCGCTTTCTTTTTCTACTCCTCGACTCTCTTTCCAGACAAGGTGTTCTATCAGCATCCAAAGTCTTGTTTTGTTCTACAGGAAAGATGATATTTTGAGGTTGATCTGTATCTGAATTAACTTCTGAATTTGGAGTGAAATCAGGATCTTGATCACTATCATCAAATTCATCTTCAGAATCTACATAATACAAAAATCAAATCTGTTTCAATCGCCTATTATAAAGATGGTCAAACTAAGTAAATCAGTGATAACGCAAATTAGTCCAAATTAGTTGTGTATTATGGTATGCCAGAAAATAAAAAAAAAATTTCTAAATGCCAAATTTAACATGGTGGTCATTTATAATTGCAATGCAACAATGACAGAAATCAAGGCCTCAACTTAATGTAATTTATATCACTGGCTATCGGATGGTCATGGTAAAGTCAAAGAAAACTGAAATTATTAGGCAGAGCACCATGCACTACAAAATTGAAAATACTAACCTAAGACTGCTTTAACAACTTCTTTAACAGACAAGTTTGCACATCGTTTAGGTCTTCTTGATGCCATTTTGTCTGTCATGCCATGTATGACATCATATAAATTACCATGACAACATGCATATGATGTTATATTCTATATGACATCATAGTGTTATGACTTTGTCATGTCACTATTCTATAGATTAATGATATCACTTACAATGTTTTTGCTCTCAACATGTCAGTTACTATGATTTTGCTCCAAACAAATCAGATACGATGTTTATGCTCTAAGCATTTAAAGAAAAATGCAGATACAATGAATTCCATAGTTATAAATTTTGGTGTTTTACTAAAAAAAACACTCTTTTGTGATAATAGGGTGATAAGAAATATTATTTCAACCTTAAAAATTGACTACGCCCCAAATATTGAATTTTGTCACTTACGAGGTTTTTGCTCTAACCCAGCGATGTGTCCTACTATCTCCTCTTAATGACAGTTTGTTATAAATCTGTTCAGAAATATCAGTGTGTTTATCCCTTCAAAAAGTCACAATTTGTTAAACATCCTTTTAGAAAGTCACAATGTATTTTATATCCCTTCAGAAATTCACAATGTATTTTATATCCCTTCAGAACAATGTATTTTATATCCCTTCAGAACAATGTATTTTATATCCCTTCAGAAATTCACAATGTATTTTATATCCCTTCAGAAATTCACAATGTATTTTATATCCCTTCAGAAATTCACAATGTATTTTATATCCCTTCAGAAATTCACAATGTATTTTATATCCCTTCAGAAATTCACAATGTATTTTATATCCCTTCAGAAATTCACAATGTATTTTATATCCCTTCAGAAATTCACAATGTATTTTATATCCCTTCAGAAATTCACAATGTATTTTATATCCCTTCAGAACAATGTATTTTATATCCCTTCAGAACAAT